TTTACTCTTTCTCCCCTCCCTCGCGCCCCGTTTCCCCCGCCATCCCCGCTTTCACTCACTACCTCATGCCCGCCATGCTCCCCTTCTTTCCTCCCTAGCGCGCCCCCCCTTTTAACTCTCTCCACCCCCAGTGGTGCCCTCAGGGTGCGGGGGCCGCTCCCTGCTCTCGGTCTTGTGTGTGACGGCGACTGGGACAAATGGGGGATCCTTAAGGGTGAAGGAAGCAAAGGGTGATCCTCATTATTTAGGGAAAGGGATCGCGAGCGCAGAGCCTGACCCTTTATTTCGTCGTCCACCGTTTCCTCGCCGTCCCGTAGGAGGGAATTGTCTCAGCCTGTGTGGATACTTATCTTCTAGAGCGACTAAGCCACCCGTTTTCTCGGCTTGGCTGCTGGGACACGCCGGACCTCTTTCCCAGTGCAGTGCCCGAGGGTCCAGGAAGCTAGAACTTATCCTTCCCCAGCCCGACCGGGACTTGGAGTACTTTTTGCCGTCCTGCTCCTAATTGCGCTACGGTGCTAGCTACTTTTGCTTATGCGGAGGTTTAGATGCCACTTGCGACCCAGGGCAACCTTTTTCTCTCATAAAGGTGTTGTAGCTTCTTTGGGTTCTTCCCCAGCATCAACTTTCCTCAAAACACAAGGTGTTAGCTCATAGGGATGGCGCTAAGGTGGAGGTGGGGGCATTGATGGTGGGTGGCCTGTGGATGCTGAGCTAGAGATCAGTCTTCTTTTGCTGTCCTCTGGCGAATCAGGTAGCCTCTTGAGAACGTTTTCTCGTCTGATAAATGATTATTTGGAGGGCTTTTGTGTGTGTGAGATAAGTAGGGATGCTTACTATATTTTAGCAAAGAGAAAGCAGTGTTTTCAGTCCAGACTGCAAAAGAGAGATTGGGACTGGTAACTGATGGAGTAAAGCAGGCTTTGCAGATCCTAGTTGGAGAAGAACTGATGCATTTGTAGTTTAAGAACCTTTCTAAATTATATTTTGAATAGATAGAGCATGCATGTGGTACAAAATCAAACCTTTCCTCCTCCTGTCCTGCACCACGCCAGTCCTCTCCTAGTGTGCAAGATTTCTGTATTTTCTAGCAACACTATGGTATCTGCATGTTGGAAATTAGCCTATGTGGGAATTTAGTGCTAACTTTATTGTTCTTTCTTTACTGTACTGACCTAAACTCTCCCTTGAAGTCTGATAACCACTTGGATTCATATTTTTTGATGCTGAAGCATTCTTGATAAGAATATTGTACTAGAGTATCATTTTTGTTTCTTGGGAAGGAGGCTGCTTCTGGAGTTGTAAAAGTGGTGCTATGGAGGGTTTCAGTATATTTTGAGGGAAGGCACACACCTGTTGGAAATGATTTTCTTTCTTTCTCTCTCTCTTTTTTTTTTTTTTTTTGGGGTGGTGGTGATGATTTCCCCCCTGCCCCCACATCTGATACCCAGTCTTTGGCTGTTGAGGATAGGTTAGGTGAGGATATGCTTTCCTTGGGCTTTTTTAAGTAGATCAGTTGTATGAATAATTAGTTAACGGTGAGTTAATTAGTTAACAGGGAGTATTGATCTGCTAGGGCTGTCAGTTTTTAGAGGAAATATAGTTTGTAGGCTAGAGACAGTGATAGTCATCACGAATTGGGTATGTAAGTATTAATCAGCAAGAATCAGAAGGCTCAACCTATAGGTTGAGTGACCCAGTTTGAGAAGAGGTTTATAGACTTTTGTCCTATTATCCTTAGTTGAGAACATACTTGATGAGGTGAGAGTGATTTCTGGTTGACAGCAGCATCCATCTTTATGACACTGTGGTTTGCCTCCCCTGACTGTGTGTGATGTCTGTTAACTTCCTGTTTAGAGGGTTTGGAAATATGGTCTGAATAGAGGTTGCTTTCAGATACTTGTCTAGAAACAATGTTAACCAGGTTGCCTGATGCACCCTTCCAATCCAAGTTCTGGCAGTAACTTTTGCAAATGCTGTATTTATCATAGGTTCATAGGGTGGTGGGAGAAGTGTGAGGAATTTTTTCTGAACCTCATAGCCTTGAGGTACTTTCAAAAGGAATCTACCCCCAATCTTTTTTGGGGGTGGGGTGGGATGGGGGAGTGTTTCCAGTTGGGCCAGGCTAGACCAATCAGTTGGGTTTTGGTTAGAAAATAGCAGAATGGAAGAGGTATCATTGTGTCCGTGTGTCCATGAAAGTATCCTGATCATATGCTGGGACCTCTGGGTTTATCTTAGCTTTAAGCAGTGTGTCTTATATGTTGTATGTATAGCAGGCCTCTTGTTTCAATTTACTGATTGATTTTTTTTCCTTCCTTTTCTCCCTCACCTACCAAGCTGAAAGTGTATGTGTAGGGAAACAGCAGCTGTGCTGTCCTGGTTTCTAGACTCTGGAGGTTATTCCATGTTAGCCACCCCATTGGGAATCATGCTGACAAGCAGCCCCTCTGCACTTAGTCAGAAGGCTCATATTGCTTGGCTCATTGAGAAAAGCCAAACCAGCTTCGGTTGATTAAGACAACTGCTTGGAGAAATTGTAAGATTTGAGCCATAACTGCGACCCAGGGACTTTCTTTTCCAGACCTTTGCAGTACTTAAAGCTTTGCATCATTACATCTCAAGGCCCAATAGCCAGACATTTTCTGGGGAGGTTTGGAGGGAAATAAGGTGGGGGGGGGAGACACACACCCAGTTGGCTATAAATCTAACCCTGGGGAAAAGCTGTCCACCTCTTGCTGGAGAAAAATCCAACCTATCAGACAATGCCACACAAAGTTGCAGTTCCCCTGCTGTTGGCTAAGCATGGGAAAAGATACATGAGGAAGTTCTGCTGCTGTTGAAAAGGACTGGCTTTTGGGGGGGGAGGAAGCTTCTGTTAGCCCTGTTGTTTGCTTTATCCCAGTAGTCTGTGACACTTTTTCTATAGGTGCTGCTTGGGGAATCCATAAGCAGAATCCATAAGGCAGGGAATTACATTTCTGTGTAGTGGTGATGAAAGTTTCTGAAGCATAGGTCTGATTTGAAATGGTTTCCTTCTCATTTTCTACCTTTTACCTTCTTCCTTGTGGATATATAAAATATTCCTGTATAGCTTGAGTTCGTCAAGCAGGAGAGCATGATCCATGGTCATTAGGGCTTAACCTGTCTGAAGTGTTTCTTAGATGGTGGTTCAGATGTTTGGTGTCTCCCTCAAACCCCTGTAACCTATGCCACTGTCTTAACTTGTTATCAACTGGAAAGCAGCTATGAAGAGTTTGATGTAGCACCAAAAGCAACAGATGAAAAGTGACACATATTTTGTTACTTTTGAGGTATGAAATATTCAAATGCCAAATCTTCCAAAAATCATAGTAATCACAGAAGCATCCTTTTAACAACATCTGGACTTAATTGTTTATATTAACAAGTGAACTTCGAAAGAAATTAAGGAAAATGATAATAATTTTATATTCCTGAGACATTTCTTGTTGCTTTTCATACCTGGCTAGCATATTTATTTATTTATTTTTAATAATGATATTGGGGCTTAAACCCAGGATGTAGTTCAAATAAACTACAATCCCCAGCCTTTTTGTTTTGTTTTGTTTTGTTTTAAGGCAGGGTCCTTGTTCAACTGTCAGTGCTAGTCTCCAACTTGTGATCCTCCTGTCTCAGCCTCCCAAGTAGCTGAGGTTACAAATGCTACAGTCTGTGTTTAAAAGATAATTCCGTGGGGTTGGATTTGTAGCTCAGCTGTACAGCGTTTGCCTAGCACAGATGAGGCGCTGGGTTTGATCCTCAGCACCATATACAAATAAAATAAAGATTTTGTGTCCATCTACAACTAAAAATATTTTTTAAAAAAATCCAGGTTATCTGAATCTGGAAGGCCTACTTTAAGTCTCCTGTTCAAAACTTTCTTGTAGGTGGTGGGGAGAGTAATTAGGAATTGAGCCCAAGGGTGCTTTACCACTGAGCTACATCCCCAGCCCTTTTTATTTTTTAAGACAGGATCTTGCGAAGTTGCTCAGGGTCTAAGTTGCCCAGGCTGGCCTCGAACTTTTGCCTCAGTCTACGGAGTCGCTGGAATTACAG